GAGCCGTCGTGCTACAACTGCAACAAGACGGGGCACATCGCGCGCAACTGCCCGGAGGGCGGGCGCGACAGCTCGGGCCAGACGTGCTACACGTGCAACAAGGCGGGACACATCTCGCGCAACTGCCCCGACGGCACCAAGACGTGCTACGTGTGCGGCAAGCCCGGCCACATCTCGCGCGACTGCGACGAGTCGGAGCGCAACTAGCGCGCCGCTCCGCCGCACCGCACTCGGACTCTAAGCAAAGGATCCCGACACCCACACACTTGTACCACGCACGCGGCCCCGTGACGAGACTGAGAGAGCCACTTGTACATACGTCGCCCGCCGATACGTTAGATGTTTGTTCTTGCACGTGAACGAGTTGTGTTTTTTAAATCATTTAATAATCGTGATTGAACTATTGATGAGGGTAGAGTTACAGTTTTTAGCATTACAGAGTATATATTTAATATATTTTGTACAGATTTATTTGACAAAAAAGAGATAAATTGGATGATGCTGGCGTACCATGCGTTTTCAATGAGGAGTGGAGTGGAGGCCTGGACGGCGGAGTCGACCCCTTGTTCTGCAGTAGCACGCTAGACCGTGACTATCCCTCGCCCGTCACCGCAACACATCATTTTGTTTTTTCCGATCTATTCCTTTGTTTATGAAGTCCTGCTAACTTGTCGAGAATTCAGTGGTTAATTAGAATTTCATCAATCACAATATTTTTTATTTTGTTATCCCTGTTGAATGTGTCTATGTTGAATGTAAAACAGCTTGCAATGGGAGATAATAAACAATATTGCCTTATTTTTTAAAACTTTCCATAATGCCCTGAATCTTTATTGTATTTATGTATGTATATATTGGTGAACTTGATCCAAGTCCTACATTTATTATTTTCGCAACCCCTTCAGAATATTATTATTTAGTTTACATTATTTTCTGTATGTGTAAGATATAGGACTTGATATGAAAAGCCTCTCTCGATTTGATAAATGCCCTATAACCAATTCCATACTTAATAGCGTGTATTTTGTTTCATTAATGTAAGGATCACAATAGATTTCATAATTTAGGAAAATTGTTAAGTTGATTAAATATTCATGAGGCTTTTGAATATTAAACATAATGTATTAAAATTTCACGTCATTGGTACATAGAATTTAACATAAATTTATAAAACCATGTTGTAACTCTTATTAATGGATTTAAAGTCTCCTTATTGTTAAAATTTAATATGTAAGTTCTTATGTCTTGAATGCAAGACAAGTACAATAAAAATGCCTTTATAATTCTTTGTTCCTTTCCTGAATGACGTGTGATTTTGTAAAATTAAAAATTATATATACTAATTGCATCAAAACATACAGTTATACTTTTGTTTACTGAGCAACTTTGGCCATAAAGATAAACAGCACTTTATGCCTTACACTAAAATACCAATTACGAATAACACCAGTCAAGCAGCTCATCTAAAAAATAAATTTATGAACACTAAACATGTCATCAAATATTTTCGGTGATCATGCATAAAATGGAGATAATATTTATACTTTGGTTTAACACATTGTTCTGATCATGGTTTGTCTTTTGGTAAAAAAAAAACATCTAGGAAATAGGAGGACTTCCTAAAGGAAAACTGGACCTTTCCACAAACCTTCCTAAAAACCCTCCTTCCAACTGTGGCAATTTGGCCAAATTTTCAGTGTAACACATGCAAAAAAAATGTATAGCCATTGCTATAGCATCTGAGTTTTGGGCAACGAGGGGAGTAGAGCCATTACATTACCTACAGACTATATAAAAAATGTGATGGATATAAGTGGTAGGATTTACATAAAATCAACCCAATTCAAACATTTAGAGGAATTTTCTTCACCGCCGAGCATCATTGTCCTGGATTCTGCATTTTGAATAGTAAGTACCTGTAAAAAACTACGTTTAAAGACAATATGAAAAACCATGAAGTGTAATCTTCCAGGTAGAACCGCTTACTGGAATATGAAAGATACGATAGAAAAGCTTTCCGAGTAACTCAATAGCAAATTTTAGATTTTTATTTGCATTAAAAATTTGAACTTTTTTTTTAACTTTGTGCTACCAGTGCTGATAGAACCAGTCAGTTGTGTTGCAAGAAAATACTGAATAATACTTTAAATAATTGACATTGCTAAATGAGTCTTGTGAAGTTTATGCCACAAATCTATCTTATTCCTGATCTTTTAAGATGTTTTAATAGAGAAAGGAAGAAATAAATGCATAAGTGTTTAAGTTATTTGTTCTTGAACTAGAATTGGATAGTCATGCATGGTCACCGTAATTCTTCACCAACAAATTATGTTTAAAACTTTTACCTGTGAAAATATAAACCACAATCAGAATAATACTCGCTACGGTAAGCCTCCACAACACAAATTCTTCCCATTTTAACCAGAATTATTAAAAAAAAGACGAAATCAATAGAGACTCCGCCATTAACAGCCGAGTCGGGATGTCATATCGGGTATCGGGCTGCCAGTTCAGGTGTCGGAATTTCAAAGAAATAAAAGAAAACACTATGTCAATCACACAACTTTTATGTTAAAAAGGTTTTACCCGTAGCAACAAATAATATTGCTTTAATATGTCGATAATAAATTATTACTAATATTTAGAAACATTTTAAAAGTAAATATTTTTACTGCATTACATTACATCAATTCCCTATTTTTATACAAACAACGAAAGGATTGATATCTGGCAACAAGGTCGTAGTTAGAAAGGGAAATATCGGACACTTGTAGCCCTCTCACTCGATTTCAATTTCATTTTGCGTGCAACAAAACTCTTATGCCCTTGGGATAAGGTTTTATTTTCTTTATTTTAACAGCAAGATGTACAAAAAGAACACACTTCTGTTGTACGTAGTACTTATTACGTCCATGGTAATTTCTTACCGATTAAGTTTGAGCTTGAGTTTGACGGTTGTCGGTTTTTAATCTGGACGGGCGTGGTGCGGTGCGCTTGCGCGAGTTTACTTTCTTGCATCTTTTGGCATCTTTCATAAATGAAGTGAGTAATGACACCGTGTAACAATTTTGTTTGGTTTAAATAACAATTTCAATGTAATACAAACAACAAAATAATAATAGTTTATTTAAATAAATAATTTTACTACAGCGTGCCAGTGAAGTGAGGCGTTGTATTTTAACGTTGAGTGTTCAAAAAGCCAGGCGTTTCCATGGGCGTTAACTTCAGGTTAAGTATTTATGATTTTATTAAAAAAAACGTTATATGTAAATGTTCAATTTCTACGATATAGTTAAGCAGTGCAAGCTGCATTATATTTGCTTATGTATTTATAATTTTCTCCAATCTTTGATCAATTCCGCATTGTTTACGTTCCTTAACGATCTTCATTCGAAACTTGTTTAACATAATTTATCGCTATAATAATTTAAGTGCGCGTTAAATTATAACTGTGCCTTTACAAAGGTTTATATGCTCGAAAGTTAACTTTTGACATGTTATATTTTAAAATGCCGGCATGTTTTAACAAGAGACAAAAAGAGTAAATCAATGAACAACACAATCAATAAATTCTTTCTGATTTGGACAATATTTGCACTCTTGATTGATCTCTTAGATTTGTATCTTTTAAATGTAATCCCATAAGATTCTAATATATCAAATTCATTCATTTATAGTTTATACTAATAAATATTGCACAATATGACTGATAATGTATGGACATTGTATTGGTTCTTGAAGACATTTTTATTTACTTTACTTTTTAAAGCTATAAACCTTTATGGGACACCTTATGAATTGTCTTTATAATAACCAGATTTGTGGTTTTGTAACACATTAGGTCAAACATAAAACATTGCTTTTCAAGTTGTAAGTATACATATATAAAAGTAGAATATTAACCTTTCTACAAAAGAAAAAAACCAGGAGTAACTAGCAGGGCCTTGACCTGGCAACAATTATTTTTCATGATTTTACATTATAAACTCGAAAGGCTGAAAAGACATAGAACATTTTTATTTCATTTTAAAATTGTGTAATAAGGCAGTCATTTAATAGTTTCTACTAATATTTACACTCTAGTTTTCACTTCATAGTTAAACATTTTAAAAATAGATTAAACACTGGCCCATCAATCCTGACTAGCTGCCAGTTACTTAACCCAAATGAGTGTTTATTTTTAGTAGAGTTGCTGCACTCTACACTGCACTGTTTCTATTTTCAAAATCTTGTAGTTTTTTTTAATATAAAAGATGTACATAAATTAATTAAAATTGGTGATCTTGAAATGTAGGCATTTTAGCTGTTGCCATATAGTCTATAAGTAGGAGAGTAGATTTTTTAATGTTAATGGTAGCAAACAAGATTGGAGTCACTTGAATTTGTCAGAAATGGAAAAATGATCCTTGCCCATTGACATCTGCCTTTGCAGAAGCATTGCATACTATTGTTTACGCGAACCACCATGGCAACAAGGAGCTGGTATGTGATCGTTGAAGATCACATAATCAGTGAAAAAGATAGCAGGACTTTGCAGAGTTGTTGCCTAGCAGAAATTAGCAATGTTACCAGAAAGCCAAAATGGGATTGGGACTGCACGTATCGCTTATGCTTTAAGCAAATAGAAATAGATGTGTCCAGAGAAATTTAGGCCAGGATTCCGTTGCGATCAGACTATGTAAGGCGTATTTTACACTGGTGACTATCTGCACACTAATAATAGCAGCGTCAGTGGAACAGTACAGTTTATTATTTTTTTCAAATATGTCGATTGTTAACTTCTCGCGAGTCGCTGTTCAGAACACAATTTAAGGTGTGTGGAGCATAGGAGGATGCGAGGGAAGGACACTGCTATCCCTCCCGATTACACTGGACCATAGAGATATAAGAAAGTTGTTAAAAAAGTAGCCGAAGGATTTTGCGCGGTTAGCCGTGCTAGTGAAAAGAAGCACTAAATGTTAAACTGCAGCACTCCGCGTGTATTATGTTTCCATATGTCGACTGACCGGTTCGTAGGCATTCTGATGGTTTATATCTTAGATAAGCTTGAAATTAGGTTACAAACTCGTGTGAATATACATTTTGTTTATAACAGATCGTTAAATGAGTCTCCACGATAACAGAAAAGATATTTGAAACATTTCGAGATAATTTATGAAAATTTTCCATTAATTAAGAATTTATGATCATTAACCAATAGACGCAACGATAGCTTATGTCGTATGGTAAAAGACAATTTAAAGGTATTGAATTACCCCGATTTTTACCATTATACAGGTCAAGCTATAAGAGAGTTGCGTCCAGTGGCGTGTAATATCCTTAATCCAATAGAGTATGGAAAATAGGTTTCCTTAGTGAATGCCTGTCGGATTTCTATGTAAGAAAAATAAGCTTTTACATTGTCGTATCGAAATGGAACACATTTCTAAGTTTAAAATTTTGTGCAGAATTCATTTCCTAAAAGCGACGTAACTCGGGATACAAACGACTTTAATTTAAATTTAATTCTTGTTACAGGTAGCCCTAAAAGAGTGAACAATGACTCACATAGGTTTATACCTGACCCTTATATTAGCTACAAATATATGCACGGGTCAGGACTATGCCACGCCAACATACAATCCAGATGTTCAGAACCCTACAAATGATTACTACAACAACCAGTACGACAACCCGTACGACCCAAACCGGAGAGTACCGAATCGTAATCAGTACGACATAAATCAGTTCGAACCGAACCGGAACCAGTACGGGCAGTACGACAACCGTAATGATCAGACGTATCAGAACCCATACGGCGTCGATAACACGCCGAAACCCAGCTGGGACTCCAGCAGGAGTTACAACCCTTCATTCAAGAGTTCAGAATTAGAACATGACAGCGTCATTATAAATGAAGCGTGAGTGTTTTATTTTCATCACAAATAAACCTTGGAAGTTTTTTTTATTACTTGGAAATCAGCCTATGCGACGTTTGAGACTAATTGTCACGTAATTTTCAGTACATACTTCATAGTGGCGTCCCGTATGGTACGGCCGGGACAGATATACAAGATCTCTGCCAACATCCTGCGCGCGCGTCTACAGATGACCATCCGCGCCTCCATCTCGCGCAATGGCGTTGAGATTGCTGACGTCATCGAGAAGGTCAAAGAAGGAGTGCCGGAGACACTTAACATGAGGGTAAATATTTACATCAAATGTCTATCGTTTTACAAAATGACATTTATTAAGAAGTTATTGGTGTCAGATGTGAAAATAACAAAACGTAACCATATTCCTGCAATAATACACACATCAAATTATGATTGATGTCGGGCGTCGGCCTCCGTTCTCGATCGCTAACAATGACCAATGACAACGGTCTCGTGACTGACCGGGCATGCACAATGACCCGTCGCGACATACGGACAAATAAATCGTGTTTGAAGTTTCGTATTTGTGGAAAACTTATAACACGATAGCGTTATTTGGTTGTTAATATTTGGTGGTTAATATTTGGTTGTTAATTGTTATTTAAGGAAGACGCTAAGTTTAGATTTAGTATGAGAAATATACATTAGGGAGTTTTCTTAACAATTTTTATATTTCTGAATGTGAGAGTCAAGTTTTAATAGTCTTTTTGTTAATATATCAGTACTTAAAATAAAAGAATTAAATCTAATCTATTAAGAAACATTTGTATTTATTGACAAAGAAAAATAAATTTGTTCCTCCATTAAGTTATCATACAACTTAGTTAAGTGACATGTCTTAGGTGCCAGCAACATCAGTGGGCGGTGACTACAAACTGCGTGTGGAAGGGTTGTATTTAGACGACCCGTTCGGCGGGCGCGCATTCGTCAACGAGACCCAGCTCACGTTCTCGAACAGATTCATGACCATATTCATACAGATGGACAAACCTGTCTACAAACAGGGACAGACTGGTATGTAACAAGTAAAAGTATTTTATTTTGTTAATATAAAGTGAAGCAAATGTGTCTGTCAAATTTCTTTACGATGTTTAGCTCTATATCGGAAACTATTTTAATCCCTTTCCCTTTCAACCCTTTTCTTAAGAGGGAAGGATGGGAAGGAAAAGTGGAGATGCATAGGAAGGGGAAACTATTTGCATGTCCTCCGTCAATAAAAGGCAGGCAACAATATATAAAAAAAAACATATGTCTCTGCTTGCTAATTTGGATTGTTCCATATATGTAATTAATAATTTTGTATGTTTTACAGTGAAATTCCGCATAATACCAATCAACACCGAACTGAAAGCATTTGGTCGTGCCATCGACGTTTATATCTTGGACCCTAGTGGTAGGATTATGAAGAGATGGCTCTCAAGACAGGTTAGTTTTTATGTCTAACTAAACTTAAGTCAAACTTTAATAGTAATAAGTATTAGGTTCAATCAACTTAAATGAGAATATGGAACAATTTTTATTAACCCTCAGTCAGGTCTAGGCAAATATAACAATGCTTATAATTATTGTAAGCATCTATTGTGATTGAGTTATAGAATCTTTCTGTGTAGTCTGTGCAGTAAGTGTTCTTTGACCAAGACAATAGTGAAATTAAACTCTCATGTTACACAAGTACATAATGGAGTAGGATAGGTCTTGTAACAATATTCATGTGGTATTTAACGTTTTATTGCTAAAAGTAAGCAGAGAGGTCAATTTTAGTTATTGACTACTAAGCTAAACTATTTCTCTAATTAGATGACAGAAAGGGGAGGTTGGGATCGACGGCAAATAATCCTTGTCTCTGTCCTTGTCTATTGAAGACATACAATATATTCAATTTCCATCTGCTGTCCGACATATAAAATAGGGAATAGGCATCCTTTGTCAGAACAATGATAGTACATATGGCTGTTCATATTGACAAATGTTGCAGAGTAACTTCGGCACGGTGAGCCTGCAGTATCAGATGTCGGATCAACCGCAATATGGAGAGTGGGCAGTACGCGTTGAGGCGCTCGGCCAGACAGAGCTCGCGCACTTCTTGGTAGAAGAGTATTACCAGACCAGATACGAGGTAAATGTCTTTTATAAGTCTTTTCAGTGTACAGTCAGTTGCATAAATACGTATAACGATGCTTAGTCTACCGATCACCGCCTGGTTTGACGTGCAGAATACTTTTGCTGACTGCCTGACATTGACAGATGTCATAGGGATGAGACATGTACGACAATAATCTAGTGTTGCGCCGCTACTCCGGTGCGGTACCGATTTTCTTTTGAATAGTATGGATTTATCTATCCGTGTATGCTTCGAACCTTGAATACATACTATTGAAACCATTTTTTTTTGTAAATGTATACATGCATCTGATGCATCTGACTGTACTGTTTTTTGATCATCTCCCATACCTTATCTTACATACGTCGGCGCACCG